GAGGAATCTGCTCTGAAGGACAAGCACGGCGCGTCTATTTACAAGCACATGCTTTTACAGCATCGCTCTTCCTCCTGCTGTATGCCTTTTTTCAAAATGTGACACTCTGATAAGATGCAGGGACACAGCGGTGTCATTTTTATCTGCCTTGAAAAGTTGTTTTGTCTCCGTCCTATCACTCTCTGTGCCAAATATCTTCGAAGAACATTCATTTCTGCTTAATGGACACCCGTCACTTCAGGATTTATTATACCTGCTTGACATTCGCCAGATGGTTTGCTTTACCAATGCAAATTTCAAGGCTTTGTGATTAGCAGAGGCGATTCTCGGATCAGAAGTTTAGGGGCGCTGAGCCTGAGCCAATCGCATAAGAGTGTTCACAGTTTACTGCCTAAAAATCATACTTGTACGCACACACACAAAAAAAGGAGTTTCAATGATCATGGGTATCTGAGACAGTTAGCTAGTCAGTGGCGCCTCCGGTTATTAATATTAGTCTGCTTTTCTGCAATTCCAAAAGGGCGGTGGCACTGTCTGACAGCCTGTAATGTTGCGAGGAGAAAAAGGAAAGCTAACTGCTAGCTAACACCATAAACAATGACCGATGGTTAAAAAGCAGCAGAAATGGGGGCTGCTAGTAATAATAATGTGTTGATATTGACCTGAGAAACAACCTATACTTCTTTAAGTAAGGTAAGGCTACTCCATTTTGCCGGAAGACTACAAAAAAAAAAAAAAAAAAGCACGCTCAGCTAACCTCAGTGAGAAGAGAAGAGAGGGAATAGCTGGATGAAACCATTTTGTCAGCGAACAGGGGAGGAGACTGTGTGTTTTTGTACATAGTAAAAATACAGAATATAAAATCTTGGGGATCTCTCAAATTTTGGCTGGTGCTTGGATTTATGTTCGGGGTTCTTCAGCATCCCCCAAAATGGGCTAGACACATACCGGTATATGGTGATTAGCGAAGTGTGGCTGTCTTTATTACCCGAGTACAGATCAATTATTTAACTTTCAGATTCAATCCGGTCATTTGCATTTCTTCTTTAACAACTGTTTGTTTTTCCCAAAGAATATTAAGATGCATCCACCCCCATGTCCCTTTATTTACATACAGAGTCAATCTTGAAACCGTGCATGCCACACTGGCTAAAAATAATTTTTCTTAGGATTAAAACTTTTTTCTTTTTTGAGAAGAGGTGGCCCCGGAGAGCTTTTTTTTTTTAAGTGTACTTGGTGTAAAAGTTTGAGAACCACTGCTTGACAACTTCCGCGTGCATTTGAATGATCATATCAAACGAATGAGCATAAATGAATAATTTGTGCTTGTGAAACCACGATAGTGGGGAATAGAATTACGACAACTCAAGTAACTGCTCATTTTCCCATTCGGCAGCTGTGAGTCGGTTGTGCAACACCAAGCCTCTCTGCAAACAAATTGCCGTGAATAATGAGAGCCACTTCATGCAAATGGAAATATAACTGGGACTGTGGGTTGGGGCTCGGAGGCTTCGGGGGCACGCAGAGGCTCATCACATTGCATTGCACACAAATACAATATCGGGACTCCTCATCCCGCTGAGCGATTTCAACTATGGCCGGAAGAAAGAAAGGGGGGGTGGGGGGAAGCCTCTCGGAAATATGGCGCACTTTCTACTCATGTGCTAGTCCCGGTGTTGTTCCAACCAAATGGTCTGTAATGAACCCATCATGCCTTCTTTTCATTTGTTTACACTGCAGATAAGCAGCGAGGTGTGTGTGGAAAAAAATAAAAGTAATACACAGTACTGAGAGGGTGACTCTCTCATATTTTTGGTTGGCTTTTTAAGCTATATGAGAGCATTATGCGTGAACACTTGTACACCACATTCTGTTCAATCCGTACTTGCCCAACAGCGTCAGTCAAAATGGAGCAGCATTACACTCACCAAGGATGTCCTGTTTTTTTGTCATGTCTCTTTCACGGAATTACTCCAAAATGTCTTAACCTGAAGTTTAAAATTATCTTTAACTGTGTTATATTATAGATGTAAGTGATTGTTGGTCTCATGGGTGGCACGGTGGTCTACTGGTTAGCACGACGGTTTCACCGTGCAGAGGTGCAGGGTTTGATTCCGGCTCTGGCCTTCCTATGTGGAGTTTGGATGTTGTCCGCGTGCCTGCGTGGGTTTTCTCCGGGTACTCCGGTTTCCTCCTCCATTCCAAAAACATGCATGGCAGGTTACTGGAACGCTCTAAATTGTCCCTGGGTGCGATTGTGAGCGTGAATGGTTGTTCGTCTGTGATTGGCTAGCAACCGGTTCAAGGTGTCCCTCGCCTACTGCCTGAAGACAGCGAGGATGGGCTCCAGCATGCCCACAACCCTCATGAGGATAAGCGGACAAGAAAATGGATGGAAAGATAGATAACCCTCATTAGGATTAGAAAATGGATGGATACAATAATGCACATCACAAAAAATTATATTGTACACTGCAAATCAGAAAATGACCTTACTTTGGGTCGAGTGAACACACTGTAACGGACACGAGAGCACAACAAGGAAGCAGCTGAATAATAACAGCATTTTTGAAGGTGACCTGAGTAAGAGTCAGGCCGGAGAAAGTGCGGGCTGCTGCACCCTGAGCTGAGTGTCAGATACACAGCAGCACAATGCTCCACTGCCCTGCTAGCATGCTGCGCTGCACTCGAGCATGTGGTCTTGATTTAGATGAATGAGCACCCCATTCACCCTCAGGACACACTTTATTGATATATATATATACATATATATATATATATATATATATATATGTATATGTGCGTGTGTGTGTGTGATCGGCAGTTGTGCAAGTCACATTGGCTATTTCTTTCACTCGGGTTCACACAGAGAGAGAGAGACACGTGCATTTATATGACAATACGAGATATGAAACACAGTAACTATGAAGAACCTGCGGCTTCCACTCCGTCACATTTGGTTAAACCACATCCAGCATGTAGTTCGCCTCATGCCTTGCCTCACCACCTGACTTGTGGATTTTGGCCTCTTTTACTGCCACTTCCCTCCTCTCTTTCTTCCATCACCTGCTCGCAGAGGTGGCTAGATGATCAAAGCGAGGTTGTTGCTGTCAGGATTCTGCATTGACTTACTGACTACATGCACATTGTTCACATTGTCAGCATAAGAGTGAGTTGTTGAGTCATCAAAAACTTTTGCGCGGATCACATACTAGGCTTCCCATTTTGGACTGCAAATATGGTCCAGATGTCCTTATCAAGCATGGCTGCTCGGCCCAGATGTTGGAATTACTTGGCTGGCATTCCAGATGCTGCGAAACACAACCGTGACGCCGCGTATTTGGGCAAGCGTGCTTCAGCAGCAATCCAAGAAGGGCGAGGAAGACGGGCACAAAACAAAACGTTTTTGATCCTGGATCACTGTTTTGTCCATGTGTCTTCTCCATTGCTTGAATACTCTAAATTGTAGGTGTCAATGTAAGTGTGAATCATCGTTTGTCTGGACAGGTGAATCCCAATCAATTAATATACAAAGAAAAACTTGTTTCAGTAGTTCGATTCAAAAAGGTGTGCGCTTGAATGAGCCTTGAAATTGACAGGTGAGGGGAAAATGAAAAATTACCTATAAGTGTGAGTGTGGATGGTTCTTACTCATGCCCTGTGATTGACTATCGACCATTCCGGGGCTGACCCGCCCTTTCACCCAAAGCCAGCTGCGATAGGCTCCAACTCACTCGCTACCCTAATCAGGATCAGCGCTCGAGAAAATGGATGGATGAATGCTTCCTGCAGCTGTCTCCTCAGATGCTATATAAATCACATATACGCTGGCTCATTAAAGATGTGCAGCTTGATCTTATTAAAAGCTCTGCGTGCAAGGTGCGTCACAGCAATCACTGCGAGCATTTAATTGCAGCCAATAGTCAATCAAATTATTAGGTTGTCCGCGCACTGTTGCTCAGATATTAAAACCAATCAAGTTGGAGATTTAATGTCACTCACTGACGGCAACGTTATGTTTGTTGTGCCATTAAAACACAGAGCCCAGAAATGACAAAGTGGCAAGATTAAACTATCTTTTAAGCGTGACAAGGACCTCATCATTCAATTTACACGAATACTGTCCACTTTTATTCTTCTAATATTATTGATAATTTTGCAAAAAAAATGTCTGTCTGATCCCCAAGACTTTTGGGAGAAACACAGAAACATAACACAACATTAAAAAAAAGAAAAGAAAAAGAATATCATACCAACAGTTAAAGTGGTGGTAGTTTGATGGTCTGGAGCTGCTTCTTTACTTCAGGACCTGGACGACTTGCTGTGATGGATAAGAACATGAATTCTGCTCTCTATGAGAAAATACTGACGGGGAATATTCGTCCTCTCGTGTCCGCCTTGGTTTGTGACCTCGTTGGGTTACAAAGCGGGATAACAAAAGAACCAAAGAATACCAGCAAGCCGACTTTTGAATGGCTTAAAACTCTCAAGTCCAGCCTTCAACCCGAGTGCAGAGCTGTGGCATGACCTCAAAAAGGCTGTTCATGTTCAAAAACCCTCCAATTAATTTTGCCACGACCAGTGGCCCAAAATATCCCGACATCGAAGCCGATGCCAATTAAAGAAGGCGCTTAATTTCAGTTGCTGCTGCTAAGGGCCGAGCAGTTATTAAGTGTAGGAGGCAATTACTTTTTTCACATAGGCACAGCTTGCTTCGAGTAGTTGCTTTTTCCTGTTAATAACTGTAATTCTCATTCAAAACATTTTTTTCTTATCTTTGTTTGACGATTTTCAATATTCAAGGGGAAGGGGGGAAAAAAAATAGATTTTGATCGACATGGCATTTCAAGTTTTATCCGTTGATGACACATTACCATCCGACTCATTTTTTGGTTTTTAAATGAAAACCAAAAAATAAGTTGTAAAACTGGAGCTTTCAGAGCTCAAGAAATGGACGTTATTGCATTTACCAACCTTCCCCCCCCACCAACCACCTCAAGCTGCTGTTGTCAGTGCAACACTGTACAGAATGACCCTGAGCCGAGCCTGCATGGCATGATGATGAGCACACACGGATCCAGCTGCACATCGGAGATATTGACTCAAAATGCCCGGAGGTACTCATTTATAAAAATGCTCCTAAACCTTTCAATGTCGCACCACACGTGTAAAAGTAAAATATACATCTCTCTCATATTTTGATCCCCGCAGTGTTGCTGCTGACGTTCATAGAGGTGTGTTGGTGATACATGGCCCCCCATAGAGGACACACAGGACCAAATGATATTTCTTGTCAGTAGTATAACGCACACGGTGTCACATTGTCACCGCAATAGATACAACACACCTAAATGTTGGCATTTTCATAGCATCGGAGTCAAATAACCCGAAAGAAGATGCATGTGAATGCATATATTACAGCCACCAAGAAGTCATAATTCTGAAAGACTGATGGTGAGATATTCTGACAAGTCACGCATTTGTGGAGGGGTGGGAACGTCTTCATATTCTTTCACACGATCAAAACACCCAATCATTGCCACTTTTGAAATGTGAAATTCCTCATTCATGCCACAAGACGACGGCAAAGCCCGACATGAAACTCCTCCTCAACTTATTTCAACACAGTTCATTAACCCCGAGACGCCACAAAGTGGTGCCATCATTTGAGTTATTTTCAGTAGTTGTGAAGTTCTTCTTCGCTTGAATCTGCATGACTTGTGTTATACTGCCACACGGTGGCCAAGTCGAGCACCCCAGAAGGAGCCACAATGCATTAATCATGATGCGCCATTTGTTTCATTGTTTACTTTGTATTTAATGATGTCATTGCTGTATAGTTTTCAAAATATTATGTTTTTTGTTGTTTTAACATAAGAAGTAAACATAAGCTCTTAAACTTCTTCTTTGAATTCCACCAAATATGCCTTGATTGTGATTCATGCACTTGCCTGATCTGATGTTAAAAAAAACAGAAACTCTTCGGTGGAGGTCATCAGAAAGATTGAAAATCTCTCCTTGTGGCAAAGGGAGAATTAAAAGAAAAAAAAATCATTTCTTTTGACGCTCAATACTCTCACTTTGTACGTCCATTTTGGAGGATTGACCACTTTCAGATTTTTACTCCCAAGTACCAATTCCAAGGAGATAACATCCCAGCCACTACTTGAGATTTTGCAGTGTGATTCTTAAAGCGCAACGTAAACGCTCCTGCCCAGAGAACCTCGCCGGCAGCTTATTCCGTCACATCTTGAGTCTAATCTTCATGGTTGCAGTGCCTCCTCGGAGAGAATGACTCAGCCGGGCAACCTTTTGCTCAACTCTCAGCTTTTACTTGTCTCCTGGTTTTCTTGAGCCCGCTGTCATTTCACCAGCTCAAAGCGTTAGTCGGAGCTGCTTCTGCTAGAACCTTTTGGGAAAAACGTCAGGATATACTTTGGGCTATTGCCCTCCTCTATTTATTTTATGATGGGCTAAACAGCGACCGAGTGGTTGGCATGTATGCCTCAAAGGTTCCGAGGTTTGTATCTCGGCTCGGGACGTCCTGTGTGGACTTGGCACGTTTTCTCTGGATATTCTGGCTTCTTTTTGTTTTTTCAAAAACATGCATGTTCGGTTCATTGAAGAATATGAATTATCAATAGGTGCAAAAGTGAGTCTGAACGGTTGTTTGTTTATATGTGCCCCGTGATCGTACCCTGCCTGTACATTTTTCTCAAAAAACAAGAAATTATATGGCATTGAAATCAAAAGGTTAACAGAATGAAGGAATATTGTATTGTACGGTGATTGAAATGAATGGAAATGCCATTAATCCGTTCTCGCCCCCCCCGCGACCCCCCCCTCCAAAAAAACAAAACAAAACACGTTTTAAATACATGACATGCTATATTATCTGTCTACCTACATCCACCATTTCTGTTCAAAGATTTGCTGTTTCTAAAATCGCCACTAGCGATGCTAACTATGAGCATGCCCGTATGAAGCTAAACGGCAGCGCTCTCGCTCAACTACGTCAAGTGTAGTTGTGCTAAATACACAACGCGTAATTCTCTTTTGCTTTCCGTTTAATTTGACGGCTAACTCGAACAGCTCGAAGCCTCTTTGTTGACGATTTGTTTGCTATTTGCCAAACGGCTGCTTGTTGTCGAGTGGGTTGAAGTGAGTTCACTGCCACCATAAAGCGCAAAGTCGGGTCACTCGAATCGCAAGGCGCCACCTTTGGACAAAGCTGAGACGTTTCGGTCACATGTTGAGCACACGTTAGGAGCGCTCAGCCACGGCAGGAAGTACTTCGATCACAGTTGGAAGACATGACTGTGTCTAACGTGCTTGTATTTCAATGAGCATCCAGCTAAATCTCTCCTGGCGCGATTCTCCTCCCCCTCGTCTCTGAATATCCTTCTTGGCGTATTTTCCTCCTGTTTTTTTTTCCTCCTTTTTTTTTTCATGTCCAGTCCATCATCCAGCAGCCATCCCAACCATTCTACCTGGTTCTCATCTTCGGGGCCTCACGTAACGATAGCACGAAGGAACAGCGAGTGTCCCTCTGGCCTGTGGGCAATCTCTTGTTTTTCTTCACAGCTTTGTCGCAGTCGCGTATATTTACATGCGAGGGAGATGTGAAGAAAGACGGACGCCATTTTTTTACCATTATTATTATTTTTAATTCCGTGGACAACATGACCAGCTTTGTTCACATTTCTGTTGATGTTCGTGTGAGATGTGTGAAGCTTGATTTTAATGACCATCCATCTCCGATTCTTAAGACGGAGGTTTGTCTGCGATTAGGGGCGACGGGCTTCAGATCTGTCAGACTGCATTTCTTGGTTTTTATGTTGTATGTTTCATACAGAGCTCGGAATGAGTCAATGTGAGCCTTTGATTCTGAATTCCGATGGGTTGAAAATTCAATACACTACAACGGTTCACATTGTGTTCTTCCTTTTCCAAAGTGTACCTGAATTTTCTGGGGCTTGTAATTATTTTGGTGGGGGTGCTTGTTGGGGTCAGTTGAGTTGGTCAGGTTATAAGTCTTTCGATTCGAAATCATTTTTCTTAGTCTCGTTTTTTTCATCTTACAAAAACCTCCATTCGAACAGGGGGTGTGTTGACTTTTTCTATCCGCTGGACGGGTATATCTCAATAAATTGGAGTATCTTCAAAATTTTCTTCTTAAAACACGTTTTTGTAAATATTTGATCATTCCCTCATGGGACAACAATGAATAAATGACCCTCCGCTACAATGTAAAGTAGTTGTTTTGTATACGCACCTCCATGAATGTCAGGCAACAAAGGTGAGTACACCCCTAAGGGAAATATTCAAAGTGGGCTCAATTTGAAAATGTTTTCACCCCGGTGTCATGTGACTCATGGTTATAAATGGGAATGGGAAGCAGGTGTGTGAAATTTAGCAGGATACTGAATACTGAACAGATTCATCACTAATGGGGACGGACTGTTCTGAGTGATTTATCCAGAGAAGGATTTGACATTTCCTAGCGCTGAAAAAGTTTTGAGCTGCAGTCAACATCTTCCATCAGCAGCCATACATGCGCATGCCATTGTAAGGCCTCCATCATGTTTGACATCTGATGTGGTATGCCTTGGATCATAAGCGGCTCTTTTTTCCGCCAGTTATTCACATTGGTCTTTTCCGAGCTGACCTTGTCCTTTCTGTCTGAAGAAGATGATTTCTGACAAAAGCTTCATCAGGCGCTCCCGCGCAATCACGTTGGCCGCGGTTTGCACCTCATTCCAAACGTCCTGTACGGTATTTACATTCGCAGAGGCTTCGCTTGATTGCAGCTTTTCACAATGACACGCCAACCTTCTCCAGATTAGTCTTGACGTCTCGTGATGAGGTTTTGTCTTCATTGAGAAAAAAAAAAGATGTTTTGCTCATACAATTTTGTTCTTTGAAAAGAGATTTTTAAATGAATATTCTTCTGTCTCAAGTCAAGGAAATAGGGCGTGCTTTTCGTTAAATTGTTTTTTTCTTTGCAGAGCAGTTTTGCGAGTGAGTGACTTTAATTGAAGAGCGACTTGCTAACTTTGTGGAAAAGTGTTTTTTTTTATACAGGTTAATGAAGTGATTGCAGGTTAATAAAAATATGACAAGCTAACAAATGAACAAGTGGATTTCTTTTTTTAAATACAGAAATACAGAATCAACAATTTTTGTCTAAAATTAAAATGAATTTGGTGACTTAGCCAGGCATAGACGGCAAAGGATTTTCATCCAAATCATAAATGTTTTCAACGATTTGTTATCGGTTTGTTTGCTTTTCGTTGTTGCTGGGTTGTTTTTGCTTTGTTTTGTTTTTTAAGGGTGTCCCGGTGGTCCAGTGGTTAACGCGTCGAACTGACAGTGCAGAGGTACCGGGTTTGATTCCAGCTCCAGCCTTCCTGTGTGGAGTTTGCATGTTCTCCCCATGCCTGCGTGGGTTTTCTCCGGGTACTCCGGTTTCCTCCCACATTCCAAAAACATGCATGGCAGGCTGATTGAACACTCAAAATTGTCCCTAGGTGGGATTGTGAGCGTGAATGGTTGTTCATGTCTGTGTGTCCTGCGATTGGCTGGCAACTGGTTCAGGGTGTCCCCCACCTACTGCCTGAAGACAGCTGGGATAGGCTCCAGCAACCTTGTGAGGATAAAGCAGATCAGAAAATGGATGGATGGATGTATGTGATAGTTTTTAATCATCCCACTGTGGAGCAACCGGAAATTGAGTTACTCTGCATAAAATGGTTGTGATTCTCAAATGTTAAATGTCATATTTTTGGTGAAATCCCTCAAAATAATGCTGAAAGTCTGCACATTGTAACATTGCGTGTGATAAAACAAGATTTTAAAAATTCATTTGGTCTCCCAAGTCCACTTTTGGACTTACCTGTTTGAAGTCTGGCAGTCCTGTGTCAAACTCCTTTTTGAATTTCAAATATCATAAATATTACTTGAGAACTAATCCAAGCGCACCTTCTTGGTTTGAATTTTAGTGAGTCAGAAGTCTTTCTGACTCCCCGTTGACTGACAGATTAAAGAATTGTATTATGGATGTATTTTTCCTCAAAACCCCCTGGCGGCTCAAAATTCAAACAGACACGGTTATTATTTAAGATTTTCTTCTCAAGCGGTCAATTAGAGTCCCGGGTAAGACTTGAAGAGTCGCGCTTGGAAAAAAAATAATAAAAAATGAGAAGAAATCATGACAAAAGACTAAAAGCGAGCACAAAGCCTCTTAGTGCTGAACAATGTGGCGGATGAGTTGGAAAAACGGGAAGCGTAGGGAGGAGGGTGATTACCGACTGCGCTTTCATACTTACGGCGCTTGCCGTGGTGATTTGTTAAATGTCTCCAGGAAGTCGAGGTGAAGTCTGACAGTTTGGCCAAAAGAGAAAATTACAGATTGTACAGAGTGTTACGTAGCATTAGTCTTCCAGTAATTAGGCCGCTCCGAGACTTTTATTCGTGCCTCCCTTTGACCGTCGTGTAAGTAAGATGCAAGCCGGTACACGATAATGATGGCGAGGTCAGTGACAGGACATTCTGAATTTGCATCCACAGCAGTTGTTGCAGTTTTTAATTAGCAGCCCTTTCTTTTCATGTTTTTTTTTTTCTTTTATTCGGTGTTCACAAAATATTTGGCATAGATTTCCAACCTTAAAATCCAGCATTATAACCGAACAGAAAAGCTGATTATCTTTGACAGGTTCTCTCACTAAAATGTGACCACTTCTTCTTCCTCCGTGGAGCACAATGCGTCTTGATTCATTCATTATTCAAATTTTGCATTTTTTTTTTTTCTGTGGATGGAACCTACCCTCAAAAATCACCAATTTGTGTATTGTTGTGCTTTTTTTCTTTTTTTTTGTAACACTCGAGAATGATGTAAGATGGCACCAGAGCCCTGGCAGAATGGAAAAGTAGCCATAGGTTTCACCTTAAGTCTTCGGCAAAGGTTGAATAAAGTTCTTGTTTGTTGTTCAATCTAAAAGGCTTCTTCTTTCTCTCCCTCTATTTCTGACTCCCTTTCGAAAGTGGGAGACAATTTCAGCCTTCACAGACATCGAGATTTGCTTCCGTTTTCCAGATATGTTTGCAGACCACGACAGTGCTTCCCGAAGTTACGGCAGGAAGTACAACAACGTAATGAGGTGCGTTGCTACGCAACAGAAGGGAATCCCACAACGTACGTTTTGTTCGTAAGCAAACTCGCGGCGGCAGTTAGCTTCCGTTGTAACGAAGGCCTTTTCACTATTTTGTGGAGGAAATCTGGTCGTTATAATGACGTTATAAAGTTGATCTTTTTCAACAAAAATGGGTGAATGGAAAAATCGGGTTCGACTGTAAATGTATTTATTATGGCTATGCTAGCTCCAATACATGAGTGTGTTATAATATAAATGTGTGTGTGTGTGTGTGTGTATATATATATATATATATATATATATATATATGTATCTCGGACGGTGAGGCAACTGATTTAAGATTCATTTCAGTCGGAGGTGAAATAACACCATCTGCACATCCTGGCTATCAAAAATAACAACAAAAAAGCCACCGCGCACAGCCAATGCATACATCTATGTTTTTCCATCAGGACCTAATTACGACG